AACTTCCCCATCCGATCGGCTATAGGCAATGGCAGAATTAGCTGTTTGGCAAGAAAAGGATACTTTCCCGACGGTCACGTCCTGGATCGCTTGTTCCGCTTGCAAGATCTGCGGATAAATCCGGCGCATCGGACGCTATCGGCGCAACCGTCCCATGCGCCTGGGCTGCTTGGCTGAAGATCCGAAACACTAATGGCGGGGGTGCTGTTGGTAGGGTATTGTTGCTGTTGCTGCCGACATCTCTGTCCCTGTCTCCGTCTTCGGCACTGTTGCTACTTGAGCCGTTGTGTTTTGGGATGAGGTCGTCTTTCGTTGTAGCCGGTCCCGGACGTCGGACATTAAAACAAGGTCTCCAAGCGTTAGTGGTCCCTGCATGGGTTCAGGCGATCAGACTTTCTGATTCTCTGACCGATAGCCCGAGAAATGAACAGCCGCTAAAACAATCTCAGAATATCCCAGCTATATACTCTTCAATAGACAGACCCGGTGCAAACGCAGGCAAGCTTCCGCTTACACGCCTCTGTCCGATGCAGTCGCATGGCGGCAGGGACCGTCCCTAAAGTCGGGCTAGGGGATGACGGCTTTGGGTTCAGCCGAGTGAAGGATTCCATGAAAAATCATCCGCTGGATGCATGCAACAGCTGGTTGACGGGGCAGCAACCTATGGTTGAGTAAACTCATGAGGACTGCCGACACCCACGGTCAGGCCGTTTTGGCCGGACACTTTCGGGGTTCAGCAATCACGCTCAGGCTGCAATGGCTGCATACATGCCCAGTCATGCCAATTTCGAAAAGAACATGAGGCGACGAAATGCTAGACGGCCATGCACTGCGAACCATGCTTCAGGAAGTTAGTCTTGGCGTCGAAGGGTACACCCGGCGCATCTATTGAGTCTATTGTTGAATGAGCCGTTATACCACCATTTCTGCATGGTTCAACTGGCGCTGTGGTCAAGCCCAAATCGCATGTTGCCTCCTCTTCCGGCCACTTTTCGGCTGGGAAGGTTCTTGCCAACAGGCGGTCCTGCCGGCTTAGTGCGTTGACCGTGGTTGACCCACATGTTCGGCCAGCAGCCAGGTCAGGCTGTTCTCGGATTTACGCTTCAAGTGGCTCAGATTGTAGGACTTCAGCCAGTCATCGCTGCGGGATTAGGGTCGGAAGTTCGGTCACGAAGTTAGGGGGGCTCACATGCACATGTATCTGAAGCTGCCATCAATCCGGAAGTGTATTCAGCGCGAAACTAGGTCCGAATAACTTGCCCATCTTGCCTGCTGCCATTCCTGATACGACTACACTATGACTATGCTTGGCTTCTAGTTAATTACTAAGACGACGATACTACTACTACGATGACGCCGCCGACAACGACTACTACGACGACTACCCGCTATCAGGTTGGTGTGATCGTGGACATAGTTCACCCAAGAACTGCCGACCCTCTCAAACTCCAGTCCCCACACCGAAAAAGCAACAACATATAATGCCCAAGACCCCGACCTCCGATGTGCCTTGCAAGCGCTAAGCTTACTAGAGGGACGAGACCTCAAGTCCAAGGAAAAGGCACATCATCGATTCAAGCCATCCAAACCAAAATCCCATAAACCCTCTGACATGCCCTCTCCCGACCTCCCAGGTGCCCCGCCCCTCAAGGACTGCCAAGCCCTGGATGCAAAGATCATGCTGGGCCTCGGCAGTCCGGGATCTGAGGATCCAATGAAGCGAGGGCTTCCCTTTGCGTTTTCTCGGCTTCGGGGTTGACGATTTGAACGGACACGCCAGGTTTGAGATTTAGGGTTGGGTAATGTCGGGCAAAGGCAATCAAGGTGGCTCTCGCCTGGCTTTTCAAGAACTGCTAAAGCTCGAGTTCCGACAAAACCAGTGGTCGCCTTGCGAAGGTTTTCCTTCGAGGCGAGGAGCGGGTCAAAGCAGGTAGTAGAGTCTGGTGGAGATATACGCTTTGGAACTGTGCTGTATATGGCATATGCCTTTTTCAACAACACCCAACTTGCCTACTATTCTTGCTGCTGGCATTGATGCTCCCATTGCCCGAAGATGCTCTTCAAAAAAGCCGAGGAACACATCTGCATCCGAACCACGGCACGCAGCGGCTTGACATATGACTCTATAGCGACACGGAAATAGAAAAACGATGCAACATTCATGTAATCAAGGACCACTATAGCTCTTATACTACTTCCACACTACGCTGCTCTACACTGGAAGGCACAGGCAGCGCTCAAATGTTAGCCAGCACTCGACAACAGCTTCCGCGTTCACGATCAGTATGTGGACTTCGACCGTTTTCTGGCAATAACAAACTACATGGACATGTCATTCGAGTCCAAGTGCTTTGATTCTTTGGCTCATCTAGCTGGTAGCTCACGGATTTCTGGATGGACTTGATAGACTGCTCTCCCAACAAAGAAATGCAAGCTCAGTTCCGCGGCGTCCAGCATGCCAACATCTGTCAACTGCCAGCTGCTGTTGATTCCGACTAGCCTCATTGCAGCTTTATGCAGTTTGCGTACTGAGGGCCGCGGATTATGATCAGGGCATCAGCTTCGGAATTATGTTGTGCATTAGCTCGTGGTGCGTCATCTAAGCTTCCTGCAAGGGCCAGACACACACCGTGTTATTCGGATTGCATCTCATGTCATCGCTTCGGACTCCAAGATCTTCCCAACTGAGAGATGGCACCGGAAGGGCTCCAACAACCAGAAATGAGCGACTTCGTTGGGAGTTCCAAAATGAACGCCACGCGATTCTCAACCCAACAAGCTCCGTCCCAGGCCTACTGCAAAACAGTGTACCGAAGCGAGCTTGCTCTGCAGCCCAGCATCCTGTCACGTCCTCTTGCCAACGTTGTATTGCCTGTCAGCCGAGGGCTGGCTTAAAAGGAAATCCGGGCTTCGGGGCACCATGATCACAATGATCTGACACGGGTTCGCAATCATGGCCCCAGTCTGCTCGCTGCAGCTATGCTTACGAAGCCTGCCGTTGGTGTTTCCTACCTGAAGCCGTACTCGGTGCAGGCTCTAGCGTGGGCTAGCACTGCGAACCTCGCGCCCAGCGGACGGCGCAAAGCCCTGCCAATACCAGCCTGGGCTGAATCTAGAAAGAGGCCCTTCATGTAAGATGGCAGCCCCGGCAAAACGAAAATCTGCGATTCTTCTGCTGGCACTTTATACGATTTCACAAGCATTATAAGCACGATCAGCTGACTGCTGCCATGTCTGCTTCCTGGCACCTACAATACTCCTCTCACATGCAGAGGCACACAGGCAAAGGCAAATACCTGCGGGAGAGTGACAAACACGGACAGACGGACACCCACACACAGGTGCACTATCTGTCTCTCTTGTTTGCATCTCCCTTCCCTCACGCATGTCTACTACACTCATCCGGGCCCTGTGTCCCATTTGCAGTGTAACGAACGAGCACGACATTGCACCATGGCCTGGTATCCTCGGAAATGCGTCTCAGCTTAGTTTCACTACTTGCTGGCAGTAGCAGCCCCATGCAGCAGCAAAAACAGCAGCCAACCACGACCATCACAACGAGGCCACCACTCCCGCCACCAGCAGCAACACCGCCGCGATTACAACAACCACAGCAACAGCGGAGCCAACAACAGCCGCAACAAAGACAGCCCCTGCAGCTACCACCACCACAAGCAGCAGCAACAACAACAAATGAAAGCATCATCACGTGCAACACGGTTTAACCTGATGACTATCAACTAAAATGCCGAAACAAACAGGCAGCCAGAACCGACCCTGATGTTTTGAACTATGCACGCAGAGGCCCGAATACCCGACATCTGTACACGAAGCATGGTTTTGTGCAGCCAACAACTGGATACAACAATCAGTGCAATAGCCGGGGACTCCAAAGGATAGTGAATTACAATCGGACTGCGAACACTTCAGGCCAGAGAGCGCCGCGGTGCGCTGCCGGTATGCGACACTTCCGATCGAAGTCGAAGCCGCCCCGGAGAGAGGGAACCTCAAGGCCCAAGGCTTACGCGCCCACAGTGGGTGTCGAGCATTGTCGAGTAAGATGATGGTGGTGGTGGTGGTGGTGGTGGTGGTGGTGGTGGCTGGGATTCTCGCATTTGCTGCATCCGAGCGAATTCAGTGGATTCGAGCCTTTCCTGCGGGCCTCAAGTCAGGGGCTGATGAATGAATCCAACTGTCGTTCTTCGAGGGGTTGCATCTTTCCCATTACATGCTAAGTCGGCCAGGTCAGAACTGTCGCTTAAACAAACCCTTTGAAAACACTGCGACCTCCCTGAATTGGTTCCGACACTCTGCTGCATGCAAGCTTGGCGCAAATGGCAACATATCGAAAACACAGATACATTACATATAATAAATGTACTATATATATATATAGATATAGATATAGATATAGATATAATATTGCATCCCTGTGCTTCCAAGGTTGGATCGCCACAACCCGAAACCCCAAATCCCAGCATCCGCAATCCGCACAGAGACGTCCGGTCTCTCAATCAACAGCCTCCGAGCACAGGGCAGCTTCAAGGGCTTGTACTTGTACCCCCAGCGGGCCATCCTGAAGTGAAGTTAGAAGGGAGCTTCCGAAAATAGGGGGTACCTTCTCTTGGGGTCCCAAAAAATAAGGATCCTACTATTTGGGGTACTATATTAGGGCCCCTATTTTCGGAAACCCCCAGAAGGATCCTGGCTTGTACCAAAGTGAGGAAGTACATGTTCTGCTGCTCGAAGAGCCAAGTTTGAGCCAGAGAGCAAGTCGCACAGAACTGAAAGATGTCATGCAGGTCGACAGCTGGATTTCCAACCGGTGCGAAGATTCGGGCCCTGCCGATATGTAACAATACACAAGGAAGCCGCATGCTTAATGCATCGGAATCAAAAACGAAAGAGCCAAACCAAGACTTGCTGCAACGCAACCGTCCGTTGGTTCGAAGCCTTCCTTGACTAATCGAGTCCCGAATGGTAATAGAAGCCAGCCGCGCTCATGAGAAGAGCCCCCTTAACCCTAACTTGCAGCCACGGCTCCAATTCTCCATGCCCCAGTATGGAACCTGTTCTCTTGACTGCTTCTGCGTGGGGGGCTCACAAAGCTGCCTCTGGGTAGAACACCGACATCGACATGACGCCAGCAAAAACCGCATTTAAAGGATGACGAAACCTGCTCGTTTGCAGACTAAGTGACATGGTGGGCCACCCGCAGTCGCGGGCAGGTGTGTTCAAGAGGCACTGACCTGATCCACCCGTGCCGGATCGACCACGCGTACCAATCCTCGCAGGGAGTCGTCCAGCAAACAAGTGAATTGCGGGCACGACGGCTGAAGTTGCAAAGTCAAAGCCGGACTGAACATGCAGAGCGTGAGAGAGAGAGAGAGAAAAAAAGAAAGAACGACAAAAGAAAACAAGAAAGATATAAAGAAATAAATGAAGAAGAAAGACAGAACAAAACAAACGAAAGAACTACATTTTTTTGAACCCAGAAATGAGGAACGACCGATAGAAAGAACGAGACAGAGAGAGAGGGACAACAAAACCAAGCGATGGGCAAAGGGAGCGATCCCGCCTGGTGTTGGAAGTAGAGAAAGCTGCCCATCATTGAATGAAAACAAATAGTTTCCTGGCAGAAGCAGAAACGTCTTTGCACTAGCACGTGCCAGAGTCAAAACAAACACGAGCACAGCAGCAGCAACAGAAGTAGCAGCAGCAGCTGCAGCAGCAGCAGCAGCAATAGCAGCAGCAATAGCAGTAGCAGCAGCAGCAGCAGCAGCAGGAGGAGGAGGAGGAGGAGTAGTAGCAGTAGTGGTTGTATAGTTGTTGTAGTTGTTGTAGTTGTAGTTGTAGTTGTAGTTGTAGTTATTGTTGCTGTTGTTGTTGTTGTTGTTGCTGGAGGTTAGACGGCCTCACCTGTAGAGATTGGTAGGCCAGCAGTGGTGGTACTAGTAGTAGCAGTAGCGGTAGCAGCACAGCAGCAGTGGTAGTGGTAGTGGTAATGGCAGTGGCAGTGGCAGTGGCAAGGGTAGCGGAACCAACTAGTCGCGGTGATGCAGGTGACAGTTGTGGTGGTAGTGAACCTGGTAATGCTACTACTACGATGACGACTGCTACTCCTGCTGCGGCTGCTACTACTACTGCTACTGCTGCTACTACTACTACTACTACTACTACTACTACTATGCTACTCCTAAAGACTGCCACCACCACAATCAAAACTGCGATGCTGCTAAGACAATATATGATACTACTTGTGTCAGAGTCAAGACACAGACACCAACACCAATCCGATAATTTCAGGGTACGCCTCTTTTTTTCATCCGGGCCTATTGCGACTGCCGGGTACCCCTGAAGAAAGGAAACTGAGGGCCAGCCAAATCTGAAGGTCTACTGTAGAGTCTACTGGTTGCAGCACTCACCCAAACACACAAGACTCTGGAATTATAACCAATCGAACCAAAATCCTTTTCGCAACACAAGCGTTGCCCAAGGTCGTGCACGTGTTGCGAACATTCGCGCTTCCAATATTACCATAATCGGTCACACTCTTCATGTTGGGTCCGTCGCGAGAATAGGTAACCATATAGCAATGACGTTAGATGTGTTTTAGTTGCCCTGATTCGTACTCTTCCGATTAAATGCCTTATTCAGAAAAAAAGCGACCAAAAACACTCTACTTCGGGTCTACCAAACAAGCTCACACGCTCGATGCTATGTCAAAGTACACTATATAGTCTACGCTAGTCGAATGCAGTATGCAGTATGTTGTCGTTTTCTATAACTATGGTTCAAACAGGAACCTGCCCCAAATGTCGGTTCGTAGCAGCTTGCAACATGCAGCCAAGGATCCGGCTCTTTTTCGAGTCCTGGGGCAGCAGATCGGTGTCGCCGCTCACACTCGGACGCTGCAGAGTAAGCAATAAACTCAGGCGTCGGGCTCATTGGAAACATAAGCCAACCCAGAAGGCAAAACTCGTCAAAGAAAGCTGCTTCCACTCTCGCGCTCGGCCCAACCAACTCAGTTTAGGTTGTCTTGCCCTGCCCCATCAAAGCAATCAATCATATCTGTAAGCCTCAGGCCCAACACTCTGCAAATAAACTGCTGCATATTCGGTAGACTGAACAGCTGGCCATGTAACGGGTGCAGACACCAAGAGGTTTAGTCAATCTTAGTCAATGACTTAAGATCCTGAGTCGCAGACACTGGACAAATAGAAGTACCCGGACTGCAGGCGGAAACCCTGCGCCCAAAGGCTTTTGGACCAATGCTTTGCATACCCGGCCCACCTCAACAAAGCACTTCCCAATCCGAAACGTTAAAAGTTGCATTGCTTTGCTGACTGCTTTGATTCATTCTCCAAACGTCGATATAGTTTCTCGAGTCGAGCAGAGGCTATGCACGATGGTGCCCGCTACGGTAGTTGTGGGGGAAAGCCAGAGCTCAGACCATAATGGCTCCAATCTGCAACGGTCGAAGGCAAGCGGCTCTTCTCAGACTCTACCCAAATGCCCTTCAGGTACGGCACGAATACCTGTCGTCAAAGTGCCATGCGTTCTTCCTTCTGAATCGAGAATGCTCTCCGAAGAAGAGTCGTCCTTTGCAGGAGCTGTCAGTGTGCACGTGCCAAAATCCCGCTATGAAATCAGGGATAATCGGGGAGCCGTCAGAACATCGATCAGACCAAGGGCGGCCACCTTTTACCTTCCACGTCGTGATTAACATCCTCATCTATATAATCAAAGACATTGTCTTCTTCGTCATCATCATCATCGTCATTGCTACCACCTTTACTATGAAACGTCATGACCCTGGTGGGAAGATGGTACCCACAAGCGTCATGAGATTTCAGCTTTCATTCCAGGCTGCACTGTCGAAGTCGTCGGACGGCTGCTTGCCATACAGCCTCGTGCAAGAGCTAGCTGCTGGGGATCTGCTACAGAAGAAGCAAGATTGAAATATCTCGAACCTGCAGATGGAACAAGCCCCTGCCAACCCGAGCACCTGCTACGATCTCAGGAAACCCGGAAGCTGCAAGCTGTTGGCGAAGAGGCCTTGCAACTTTGTTCGGAAATTGATACTCGTCGCACCTTCTCCACAACACCCTCAATTTTTTTCTATTAAAATTATCTGCTGAGTCGCAAGACGAGAACTTGCCGAAACGAGCCGAAGTGAGGCCGGTGGATGACCAACGGGAAATTGTCCATGAACTCCTGGCTTCTTCAGCTCGCAACGCTTTAAGACTTTTGCAATCATGAATTCCTGGCTTCTTTGAGCTCGTGCTGCGGGCTATATAGGCCTCTGTTGGCGGGCCCCCCCCGGGGTACAGTGATAAATGCGCCACGCTGTTTCGACGAAAACCGGTTCGTCGATGTGAGTGAAGATTGTTAGCGGTGCTGATGCTCCTATTCCTAATCCGAACTGGAACGTACGGGCGCTAACCGCTTTTGACACTCACGCTCGGGCAAGCCTGGCAGGGTCTCACACGGCGGTTCGATAAATGAAGGACATCATGCTTGCAGTCATAGTCATGTGCAGTACCAAAGATGCTGCCAATAACAAATACTGTGCCAATGACGCTGTCGTTCTCAAGGGCAATGACAATAGCACCTAGCCACCCACCCAAACTGTTGTCATCGTCAGTTGGTCTGGTTATTCATTAGATCATGACTTGATTTGCAGAGGATGCCAGGACGACGAAGGCTACTAGTGGCACGGTCTGACGTGAAAGCAAAAGGAGCCAAGCTTCAAAAACCTCAAGCTCTGACTCGTGTAAAGGCACACCAAATAGCAACGAGAGTTATTGTGTCATGCCCTCCACAGAAACAGCCTGTCGTGGCTCCCCAAGCAGGTTCTTCTTTGATGTGGCGCAGTGGCGCATCTCGAGTTGACTGTGGGAGGATGAGGAGGACTAGTGACTAATTAGTCGTTGTCATCCTTTCGGCGGTGTCGGATTCCGAATCTTGCCGGCAAGCTGCAGCCACCCAGACCAGACGAAGCGCGAGCCTTTTGCATCGTTTTGCATGAAAGCTTACAGTCAACTTAACTGCTAATCACAACGTCACTTCCATACGGGCGTACTCAAGCAGCGACTGCGATCTCTTAGCATGAGAGAAATCTGCGATGGCCATACTGAGTTTCATGCGGCCGTCTACTGCCATCAGCACCAGTATCCACACTGCACTGCCGTTGAAGAAGGGGTGTCTGAACCATGGCTGCTACACGGGCATTCGAGGGCTCTTGGGCCCCGGCACAGTTGCAAGAAACACCTCCAGTTCGGAATGCCCCATGACAATCGGCCTGCCCAGGGTGTTTGGAAGTAGGGCGTGAGTTTAGGGCTGACGCAGCATCGAAACCATGGGAGGCTTAAGAAGGCACTACAGTGACTACAGGCGACTCGTCGGATCATGTATCTGCTACGCATGCATGCGCAAAACATGCAGACACCTGCCGGAAAACCTAAGCAAACAGTTGGATTCCAGATCCCTTGAGCCTTCTGCGTCTGCCCTAAGGCCACCTGAACCAACAAGAAACAGCTCCAAGACCACCTTTGTCTTCGTGAAGGCCCGTATTCCCGAAAGCTTTGAATCAGCACAGCTTCCCTAAGCTGCCATTGTGGCCTGGGCTTGGATGGACCGGGCTCGAAGATCAAGGAGGGCAGAACGAAGGAAGTGAACACTACGTCACCTGGGCAAACGAACTCTGCTTCGATTTCCAAAGAACTGATGCAGTGACCCATGACCTCTTTGCTGTAAAGTGCTTCACAAGACATTGGTGGTGCATGACGAATATACAAGTTACTTCTGACTGGCTCTGCTGTTGGTAGACCTGGTTTGCGAATAGATGCGCCCAGATCGCCACACTGAATCCACATTACCGTGGAACAAATGCAATGCATTCACCGAAGCTTTTCAATCCTTCTGCAAGCGCTCCTGATGCACAGCGCGCGAGGCGAATTTCGACTCTCGGTCGAAGTTTTCGGTGTTCGGTTCTAGGCTACCTGCACAATGCCCCTTGGATGCTGACAGGCTGACTGTCAGTGACCGCGATGTAGTCAGCTGTCGAGAAGTTGTCAGCCCAGCACTCACCTCGGGATACGAGAAGCATATCGCCTCCGCTGCATGAATGTTATGACAAATGCCAGGCCCACATTGCCTCCGAATGTATGCAGAAGCACAACAGTCATGCGATGTTGCGTCGTCGCAAAACTAACATGAGCCGACGTAAGCGAGCAGCTATGCCAGCTAAGAACGTAAGCGAAAGCAAGCCCTGCAGAATATTTCATACTCCGACTGCTAGCTGCTAAAATACTTTAAAAAATGCTAGACTCTGGACCTGAACCAGACCGAATGACTCCACTCTTTCTCGATCATTCCGATGGCATCTCTGGCTTTGGGCAACTGTTTGAGTTCGTCGTAGAAGGGAGGCTTGGCCTCGGCTGGAGCTCGTTGGCTTCGGGACACACAAACGGATCTTAACTGGTACTGCCAGCTTTGGGACAGGCCCCTGGCTGAGGCAAAATATAACCTCATAGACCAGAAGCCCACATCCAGGAGAGCCCTCCATGATTCACAAGGCCGCTTCCACGCTACGACATCTGTCAACGCAAGCCTTGAGCTTGTTCAGGCGAGTGGCAATAAGCTCACACCTGCGGCGGAAACAAAGGATTTGAAGTTTCAGCAACTGATCCAGGTCCTGTTCTCTCTCTCTCTCTCTCTCTCCCTCTCTCTCTCTCGCTCTCTTGTCTCTTGCTTGCTTGCAGGGCGCTTGGGATAAAGGGGAAAGCCCCCAAGACCCCTGCACACGGCGCACTTGCTTGCTTGCTAACGAGCAGGGGCGCCCAAAGGCCTTTTTTGAAGGGGCTCGCAACGTCCAGCGTCCGGTGCTTAGTCGGCGTGAAACAGTAGGTTCGCCGGTTCCCCAGGGACTGCTGCACTGCCAAGACGGAAGCTGACGCTGAAACTGTTACAAAGGCGCACTTTGCTTTGCTTGAGGCATGGGGCGGGAGCAGCCCTCCCGTCCCGCGCGAGTGCGCTGCCCCATCCATGATTCTCAACACAAAGGCGCACTCTCTCTCTCTCTCTCTCTCTTTCTCTTCCCCCGGCATGAGGGTCGGTCAGGACCCCCGGGCCACAGGCCCACCTGCATATGTTTAATGCAGGTTATAGGGGTCTCTCTCTCTCTCTCTCTCTCCTGCTTGCTTGCTTGCTAGGGGTCTGAGGGG